GAGAAGGGGCAGACCAAAGAAGATCTATTCGGATAACGGAAAGACCTTCAAAGCAGCAGAAAATTGGATAAGAAAGGTAATGAAACAAGAACAGTTTCAAAACTTCCTCGCCCGTCAAAATATCGTTTGGCAGTTTAACCTAAGCAGGGCTCCTTGGTGGGGAGGCCAGTTTGAGAGGATGGTGGGCCTGATAAAAAGAGCACTATACAAGAGCATCGGACGTGCTAATTTGCGATGGGGAGAGCTTGAAGAGGTGATCCTGGATGTAGAAATAGCGGTTAACAATCGGCCTTTGGGCTATGTCGAGGACGATGTTCAATTTCCTACCCTGACGCCAAACTCAATGCTGTTTATGCAACCTAACCTACTTCCCGAAGAAGAAACTAGTGATGTCGAAGGCGTAGAGCTGAGGAAACGAGCAAGGCATTTATCGAAGTGCAAGGACGCGGTATGGTCTCGATGGACAAAAGAGTACATAAACGGACTGAGAGAACGGCACAATCTGAACAACAAGGGGAAAGAAGTAAGCGTTAAAGTAGGAGACGTAGTTTTGATCCAAAACGACGAACGGAATCGAGGAAAGTGGAATGTCGGTATCGTAGTTAAGCTTATAAAAGGAAAGGACGGTGTAGTAAGAGCTGCGAAACTCAGAGCAGGGAAGTCCTATTTGGAACGCGCCATTCAGCAGTTAGCCCCGATGGAACTGACATGTGATAATCCGCCAGTAGGGCCAGAAGAGAAACAAGCAACCTTGAATGTGAAAGCGAGAGAGTTTCGACCGAAAAGACGAGCAGCTGCAGCCGCGGAGGAACGAATCAAAAGTATCGCTGAAGAAGATGAACTTGAACACTAATTGAACAGAACATACATTTGTTTCCTTCGGAATCAAATGGGGGGAGAGTGTAGATAATTTTAGACATTATTGACATTACATATAGTTATTAAGACTTATATAAAGTATTGCGAACAGAAGAGCCCGCGGGCGCTAGGATCGGGGGCTCAGGTATGAGAGAAAAACAAAACAGTGAGAGATTTTGTAAATCAAATGTGAGAGTTTCAATGAATTTAAGTTTAAAATAAACAGTTTTGTCGAGTAAAAATATACGTTTCCGACATCCTTTACTTTTCCCTAAAGAGCGAGCTGTGAGAGTCAGTGACTGATATTTGCTATATAATTATCTCCCATTTCATGAGGTTAATTTTTTGTTGAAGCTGCTCTCAGAGTGCTGCAAATGGCATTTTTGAAGTTTAAAAATAAAATAATTCCTGGGACAGACCCCCCTAGGTGCGTCACGCATTCGCCTCTCGCAAAACTAGATTGTATATCCGAAAACTTTGAAAAACGTACGAAAAATCCTGGATCCGCCCCTGAATTGGTAGATACAACAGGTTACCCCAATTACTGTACCCCCAAGGGAATCAAGAGAATATACTGTCTTTCTAATTTAAAGCAAATCAACTGCTGTCAGCATTGAAACCATGCAATTGTTTGAGAAACTTTTTGCACATTATATGGAATGACTGAACAGTTGAATACTTTATTGATATGCATGTTCTACACTAATTCTTGCCTACATGTTATGATTTAACTGCAATCTATCCTGGTGCAGAACGCATCATTGAGATGCGTAGTGGAAACTCGAATGACATTATTAAGGTCTAAGGGTTGGATTAGTGTTAGGATTAGGATGGATGATATATCGATATAATCATGATATTTTCACTCACGATTGTCATATTAAAGGTAAAAACTGGAGCAACGATATATATCGTATGTAATTATCATAACGGTAAGTTATGGTCAGTGACCATCATGATATTGCTTTGCATATGTGAATACATAGCTTTTATGTACCGGTACTGTAACAGCCGAAATTTTATGAATGCTTGCTGCTTTGCCACTATCGCAGTGGACAACTAATTATTAAGGTTTATGAAATGATCATGCAGCAAGATTTTTACTTGTATAATATTTATTTAATTACTTATTTTTCTAGTTGGATATTTACTTTTATTTGTTGTGTCTAATAAGATATAAAAGATGTATATTTAATTAGTTGTTAATTGTTGTGTTAATATTTTTATATTAATTAAAATTGAAACTGTGTGGCCACTGTTATTATGACATGGGTAATTCCACAGTAGTGATGACATTTTTTTGAAAAAAAAAGTTGCCAAGAATTTTCAGAAGCTATTGGAAACAATTCTGAACTGAAATATGAAGCTATATTTTATATGTAACATGAATGACGTAACATGAGTCATGTGCATTATGAAGCAATCCTTACTAAGTGCATTATGAAGCAATCCTTATAAAATTTCTTTGTGTTGGTAGTTTGCCTAACATATAGTCTGTTACATGATAGAGATTGTTGGTTCCTCCTTCCTAGGTTCCCAAACAAATTCAAAAGTAGTTAGGTTGGTGTTACCTCATATCACTTTGTCGTAACAGATGTCACACACCACTTTACGGCAACCAATCTTATCATGCTTGTGTGATGTTACTCTGAGTGTATATCCATACCGGGCAGGCTTGAAAAATATGCCTGGCCACGGTGGGAATCGAACCTACGACCTTTGGAATACCAGCCCAACGCTCTGCCAACTGAGCTACGTGGTCAGGTCGGTTCGAGTACGCGATATTTCGGAACTGAGTCTATAGTTCCTTCGATATCAGTGTAATCTAATAATCGTGAAATTTGCTGTGTTGGTGTAATGTACTCAGGTGAATAATATGCTTGTGTGATGTTACTCTGAGTGTATATCCACACCGGGCAGGCTTGAAAAATATGCCTGGCCACGGTTGGAATTGAACCTACAACCTTTAGAATACCAGCCCAACGCTCTGCCAACTGAGCTACGCGGTCAGGTCGGTTCGAGTATGCGATATTTCGGAACTGAGTCTAGTTCCTTCGATATCAGTGTAATCTAATAATCGTGAAATTTGCTGTGTTGGTGTAATATACTCAGGTGAATAAGATGCTTGTGTGATGTTATTCTGAGTGTATATCCATTATCCACACCCGGCAGGCTTGAAAATATGCCTGGCCACGGTGGGCAAAAGGTCGTAGGTTCGATTCCCACCGTGGCCACTGGCCAGGCATATTTGTCAAGCCCGCCCGGTGTGGATATATACTCAGAGTAACATCACACAAGCATCTTATTCACCTGAGTACATTACACCAACACAGCAAATTTCACGATTATTAGATTACACTGATATCGAAGGAACTAGACTCAGTTCCAAAATATCGCATACTCGAACCGACCTGACCGCGTAGCTCAGTTGGCAGAGCGTTGGGTTGGTATTCCAAAGGTCGTCGGTTCGATTCTCACCGTGGCCAGGCATATTTTTCAAGCCTGCCCGGTGTGGATATACACTCAGAGTAACATCACAAGCATCTTATTCACGTGAGTACATTACACCAACACAGCAAATTTCACAATCTTATCATGTTATAATCAAATGTTCAATTTTTACTGTGAATCAGTAGCTTACCATTATTCGTACCTGCATGCAAAAATGTGACATAAAAAAATATATTAGTTATTACAGTACAGATCAAAATGACTCTGATAGTTAATGGTTCAGAATGTAACATGAGTCACTATGGAATTACGCACATGCATTTATCGCGATATTATCGAATATTGTGATAATTTCTTAAACGATAATCATGCATGATATGATTTTATAAATACACTGTATTACTCAACTCTTATGTTAGGATTATTAGGTTGCCATGATTAGTGTTAGTCCATAAACTTTTAATTTTTGACATAAAGCACTACCAACACTTTTGTCATAAACAAAGCCCTACTGACAGATCCTCCTAAGATCCTTAAGGACAAGATCCTTTTTAGCTACATTTACACACAACCATAAATCGGCCCAATTTCTGGTTTTGCTGAATGTTAATGACGAATGTTGTCAGTTGACGATGTCGTCAGATGACGTTGACAGCTGAATCTGCCTGATTAATCATTTTAAATCGTTAAGGATTTCTCTATAAATCCTGACAGGTTCCTGCAAGAAAATGCTCCTTAATTCAAGGATATGCTTGTCAAGGATTGTGTTTGGTTCAAGGATCCTTGAGGGTTTTTGTAAAATCGTGGCAGGATCCTGGAAGGAAAATTTTGACTTTCCTTGAGAAATTCCTTGACGAAGGATTCTGGAAGGAAAGGTTTATCCCATCCTTAATAAAATCCTTGAGGTCATTTTAAAATCCTGACAGGATCCTCAAATGAATTTGGTGGAAACCATGGATGGAAAGTTGTTTGACTGAATCCTGAAAGATTTTCCTGAAATCCAGGCAGAATCTAGCTAACTCTTCCTGATATGATGCTTTAAAATAAAATCCCAATTTTATAAGTAAATCTTTTTTTTACTTGAGATTTGGAATATCATTTTGCAATTGTGCAAATAGGAATTACAGATTATAGTGTCATGCTGGGGCCAGTTGTTTGAAAGCAAATCAGCTTAACCCTATATTAACGGAAAAACTTCCTATAACAGCTTAATTGTCTATAAATTTGGAAACGATTCTTCAGAAATCTTGTCTGGATAGATCATATGAGTTTACTTTACTAAATTTCTCTGAAATTTTGAAATAATCAGAAGTGTAGAAATACATAAACTAAAACAGTGGGTTAAATTTTAACCGAGGGTTAGACCGGTTAGCGCTATCCCACCTTTGAACAACTGGCCCCTGGACTACGGCATTTGATGCAGTCTGTTGAAATAATAGAATATATACTCGAAGATTCTATAGTTTCCTTCAGTTCTACTCTCACTAATTTCAGAACATATATAATATGTTTTAAGCTGCAGTAAAATAAGACCGTACAGTGTACCAATAGTTAGTGTGGTATATATATATATATATATATATATATATATATATATATATATATATATATATATATATATATATATATATATATATATATATATATATATATATATATATATATATATATATTAACAGAAATTTAAAAACTATATATTAATATATTAACAGAAATTTAAAAACTATATATTATTAAGATAATTATAGTAATTAAGAAAACACAAAAATTTGGTACATACTCAGTGATTGTACATATTAATTTACAAATTTAAATTCCATTTAGTTTTGTGCTACATTCTCTCCAAGCATGCATATGTTGTTTTTTCCAGTAACTGCCTGTGTGAACACTGACACAAGATGTCCAATGTGGCAATCATGGGGTGAATGTCAAGCTAACAGAATTTGGATGTCAAAACATTGTAGAAAGAGTTGTGCTAACTGTCAGGGTAAGTCGATCTTCAGGTTTCCCTGCATGGGCGTCAATCCTGGGGGGGGGGATGCGTCCCCCCAGTTTTTGGAGTGTGGGGACGAATATCTAATTATCCCCCCCCCCCCACACTTTTTAACATGTTTAATGAAATTTTGTTTCTTGGTAGTCTAAAAACCTAATCCCTGGTATGCTATTCATCCAGACTTGTGGTTGGAACGAAGACATTTAATAAGATGAAGTTATTACAACGTATGACCTTTCTGTAGCCGCTGGGAGCAAATACTGACATCGCATATGTTATTGAATGCTAAATTTGTACATGTGTTGTAATTTTATAAACATTTACATAAAGGCATGCACTATTTGTCATTTTCACTTCCTGTTCTAACTGGCAAGCTGCACTGAATGAGACAATAATTCGTTTTGCTTGTTTTTTGCCTAATTGTTTTTTATTATTATTACGCCCGTAAAAAGTATTTAGAAGTTATTTACATTTTGTTTTTCTATTTTGAATAGGCTAGAGACCTTCTAGAAACCTAGCAGGCTTTTTAATTAAGACTCCTTTAATACATTATTTCATTCTTATATTTAGTCAGTTCGAATTATTATATTGAACAAGGATAAAAGTATATATAACATAAACATGCATATTAACTTAATTATATATATTCGAAGTGGAAGATATTATATATATATATATATATATTGTATATTTACAGTAAAGAAGGACTGATAATATATTTTAAACTTTATACATCAATTATTGAGCTAATGAGTAATGGACATAATCGTAATTTACTAATTTAACGACTAAATTAAGATTTAAGACTAGATAGTTTTATTTTACCATTTTCAAAAGTTCAAATAGAGTGAAATATTAAGGCTAAACATTCCATTTTTGTAGTTTCTCGCCTGACTCCAATTAAAAGTTGTAGACATAGCATTGCAATCTAACCAAATGAATAACTAACAACTAATATTTTTAACAACTTTGATGTGCTTTATCACACTTGCACAACCTTGTTTTTTGCGGATTTCTCACATGGTTAAAAATGGATTTAAGATCATGCACTTTGTACTATAACTTTACAAGTTTCTCCAAAACGCTGGAAATACCATTTCAGGGTACCAAAATTTTAAAAACATTTCGGGTATTCCGCCCCCCCCCCCCCACGTTTTGGGATGGATTGACGCCCTTGATTCCCTGTTTCACAACTAACCTCCAATTGGCTCCAAAATTATTTTTGCTGTGGGTAATATTTCCATTATTCTCTAAAGAAATGTAATACTTTAGTGGAGAGATAATTAATGACAAGTAAATCGGGCACAGTTTATGTGTGACCTTAAAATTTATATAAAGGACATTAATTGAAAATAAAATTTATTTGATCTAGTTAGGAAAGTCTCTTAAAAAATACTCTTTAAATAACAACTGTCTTCGTTTTCAAAATGTTTCAGTTTGTTTATTATGTAAATGAGCTGAATCTATTGCGTCATAGGCAGGGTACAAATTTTGGAATACAGAAAAAATACCTTCTCAATCTCAGTTTGTCCGGTTGTCCCAATTTTTGTTTACATTTTTGAGAGATGGTTTCTTTTCAATTTAATGATATTCGCGTAGGAAAAAAGCATTCTCATTAGAATGACAATAAAATCGAAATAGTGTGCATCTCTTTACCATGGTTCCAGAGGCTCTTTGCGAGGCGAAATAAACGAGAGGCGAGAAGGAAGAGTCTCTGGTCACATCGGTTGCAAATCCCATTTCCACACTTGATTAGGTTTAGTATTTGAATCTCGCATGTGTTTGGCCATTTGTAAAAATATGTCAAACCGGTTTGGGAAATAAGCATTACAGCTGTAAGCTAATTAGGGGCGGACCATTTGACTTTTGAGGGGGGGGGTGGACGATTTCGAAAAAAAAATTCCTGCAACCCCAAGGAGAAAGAAAAAGAATCATGCAGCATAGATTCGAGAAAAAAGTATATCATGCAAAAGAGAGCGCTCAAAAACCAAAATTCCTACATGTAACTCTACTGACCAACTGATGCTCTTCACTTCAGTATTGTGTCCACAGGCTTGCGAGATTTTGCATTTTTGAGCAGGCACATTTGCTTAAAAGAACACGGGGTGAACAGTGGACAACATCACAGGGATTCTACCGCCTTTGGAGCATCTAGGCTCTAACATACGATAGCCAGTGGCGTTCCCTGGCATTGTTGCCCCCCCCCCCCCTGAGAAAATCTGGGCTTAAGATATGTACAAGTTTATAAGTTATTTATACATATCTAATATGCATGGTAGAAAGTTTTTTTGGATGGTCGAGTCTGTGTGCGTTTTTTTGATAACATAGCTCCACTATTAAAGCTTCAAAGGCCCATCTACAGGATGCAAGTTGGACGTACTGTATACACTACACGATGATTTTAATCCGAAAATGCCAGTTTAGAGAGTCTAGATTTTAAAAAAATTCTGAAGAGGATGCAACCCGATCCCCAAGTCAAGCTATCTGTATGAACGACTGGAAAGCTACAGAGCTATATTTGGTGGAACATTGTTGTTTCGGAGGGCAGTTAAAAATCGCATTATTGAAATCTTGTTTTATTACATATTAATCAAAGCTCATTTTGTGATTTTCCCTTGTTTAAAGTAAGGGACAGTAAGTGTTCCTTAGGCTTAGTACAGCAAAGTTGTTGTGGACGAATCCATGGCTGAAAATGCAGGGAATAGCATTTCCGAGGTTCAAATTTTAAAATTTTCTCGGGGGAGCATTCCCCGAACCCCCAAGGTTACAGGTCATTCATATACTGTACCCTCCCCCCATTTTCGAGTACTCCACTCTATCCCTGCATGTTTTAGGTTTTGGTGCAGTTATACATTTTTTGTAAGTAAACTTGCACGCTTCAACGCGGGGAACATTAAGACATAACCATATAAAATAAAGCACAGTGAAAATTCCTTGGGCCCTCTTGGGATTCAGTTCTCGGCCTCCTCTGGCTGAAAACCCTGGCTACGTCTCCGATGATAGCTATATGAAAGTCTTAAGTTACTGTAAGCCGTTATTTTGAGAAGCAAAAAAAAATATCCTGCCGCGAAATATATTGGGGAAAAAATATCTTGCGCTGCACTTTTATAGGAAAAAGAATATCTGTCTCGTTTGCCTGGGCGATAAAAAAAATTCTTGCACAGTCTGAATCTTCCAACCCCCCCCCCCAAAAAAAAAAGTCAAATGGTCCGCCCCTTGTAGCTATAAATATAGCTATAATTAGCTTACAGTAATGTTTATTTCCCAATTTCCCAAACCGTTTTGACATATTTTTACAAATGGCCAATCACATGCGAGATTCAAATAATGAACCTAATCAAGTGTGGAAGTGGGACTTGCAACCGAATGTGACCAGAGGCTCCTCCTTCTCGCCTCTCGTTTCTTCGCCTCGCAAAGAGCCTCTGGAACCAGGATAACATATCTTTAAACTGTCAAAAGCTGAAACGTTCCACGTGGTTTAGCATGTTAATTAAAGCAGCAAAGATTTTCGCACGTATAGGCTACAGTATTATTTTTGTGAGAATTTGAAACATCAGAAAGTTTAGAAAAATCACAAAGTACAATTATTTTTGGCTGTGATATTTAAACATCAAATAAAATGAAATATCTTGAAGAAACGAGTAAAGGCAAATGTTAAAAAGTGTACAAGAACTAGTATATAATATTACAGATTTAAGATTTCTTTCTAACTATAGATCAAGTGTGACTGTGTGTAAAATTATGTTGCAAATGTCCTTTGATATACTGTATTGCCTATAGGTAATACATTTTTTTTGAAAATTGGAAAGATTTCCCTACCAAAATTTATACCCTCGTATTAACATTGAACGCGCGTTTTATACATTTTCGTCCCCTCCTCAAATGTAAGATTTCGCTAATTTCTTTTCACCTCAAGGGATTACAAAATTAATGACACAATATAATCTATTTCAAAATGTTCATAACCATTGTTTGGTTGGTTGGAGTATATTTAGCCATACGCTACTGTAAGTTAGTCACAGACATTTCTCAAGGCAACTTGAGGGTGACTATTTTGAGGGAGTAAAAGATTGACGTAGGGTTCGAATACCTTGATCTTTAGATTCAGATGTGAAGCTTTTCTTCCAAGAATTCAACCTTCTCTTAATCACTCGAAATTTGGGTTTGGACACTCAGGCAGGAATGGAGTTTCTTTGTCTCACTGGGATATTACTATCTATGTTGTTGTTGGTATCAGGAAGGATGAGAAACTGTTGGAACTTTGGTTTATTGTTTTTACTATATTATTCTCAACACAAGGTACATGTATTTCTACATTGTGGTCTGCGGAGCTGCAACTTACATAAATTATTACCTCCGCCAGGTTATGTTTTCGGGCATTTGAAATTAAAGGCACAGTGCAGCCTTTTGAATGATGGTTTTTAAGGTGCACTTCAGCTCTTTTAATTGAAAAAACTAACTAGGAAAATAAATTAAGCATGATTCAAAATCAGCAAACTCAATGTTTTTAACAATAAAAGTGTTTTAAAATGTTAAAAACATTAAGTTTGCTGATCTTGAATTAAGCTAAAATTAATTGATTTTCCTAGTTAGTTTTTTCAGTTAAAAGGGCTGAAATGCGCCTTAAAAACCATCGTTCAAAAGGCTGAACTGTGCCTTTAACAAACGTTTGTCTTGCTTTGCTGGGGAGAGTAAACTGAATGCGTAATTAGCCCATTGTACAATTATTAATATATGATCATACTGTGTCGTAATTCGCTGACGTATGCAATCTTCGAGTGCCCTGTAGCTGAACTTGTTCTTGTCTTTTGAGATATACTTGAGGAACTATACAGGATGAAACTACCTGAATAATATGACAAGAACTTTCACTCGTTTCGAGTGAAGGCCGTTCATCTGGAAGTTAGTAGCCAGAGGGCCTCCGCTTGGAATGTCCACCCATGCAGTCTTTTGGAATTCTGACATATCGGTTTCTAACCCCCTTATAATAGTTAGAACCCCCTCCCCTGACGTTATACACAATTATATTCGTATATGTGAATGAACTTTCCCGAGGCGAGACCTCAACTATCAATAAGGATCATAAAACACTGGATAGCTAGAAACGTATGATAATGCATGACTGTTTTTAGCATGCTGATGCATGCCGTCTCAATTACCTTGTTTGGCTTGTTGAAAATTATGACATCTGAATCCAAGATAATCCACGTTTAGCAATAATACAGCTTTGCATTTTTGTTAAAAAACGAAATAATACCACCATCATGCCACTCTACGATGGGCTGTTAAATATTATTGGTCATTTTAAGGGAACATATGAAGCAATAGACAGTGGGATACGCGTCACAAATTTCAATTATATCAACAGTAGACGCTAATTTCTTGAATACGAAAGTAAAATAAACTATCAAAGACGCCAATATTTGCCTCGAGTACTTTGCCGTGGCACAGGCAGGTTTATACAAGACAATTAATGAAACTATTTTGAATCTCAATAATATATATCTACTTGAATGCGAAAAATATAGGAAAATGGGAGAAAAACGCAGTGAACAATATTCTTTGTGTTCGTTCTATCTATCACTATCACTAACACAAAGTATATTGATGATCGTACTATTTATCTATGTCATATACAGCTTAGAAAGCACACCTATAATAAACACAAGCATCCAATTTATGCATCAATTGTTTAATAATTCATGCATGAGGGAAGTTGCACAACACGGTGAGATTATAAATATATGAAAGCCCGCCGCACATGAAAGCAACTTGCTGAGCTAACCGCCGCGCGTGGCAGCTAGCTTAGCTATGTATTTTCACCGCACACGTTGGGAAAACTACTCAACAACAATATAATTGACAAAATCATTTGCATTTTCCTCCATTTTGTTCCTAGTCGCGCATGAAATGGTTTGTCATTGGCTAATTGATTCAAACAGCTCAGCACTTAGCTCACAATATCCGCAGACGCTGAGATTTTTCCTCGCGAGGTGAAAAATATCAAACACGATAGATATTTTCCTCAAGGCCTCGAGAGGTCAAATCCTCCTGAAAACTATCCGCACACGAAAGAAACTTGCTGAGCTAGCTGCCACGCGAGGCGGTTAGCTCAGCAAGTTGCTCTCGTGTGGGGCGGGCTTAAGGCCTAGTTCAAGGATATTAAAGCCGATTTTTATGTCTCGAACCCAGTGCAATTCATTCTAGTTGTTACCATTATATAGATTCTGCACATGAAATGTTCGATGTCTGAACTGCGCTTTATTCCACAAAAGTATATAGAGTTACTGCTTTTAAAGATCTTTCTCAAACACTGAGACAAACAAATTACCTTCGCTGCAAAAATCATCGATGTTCTTCAATGCTAATTCATGCAACAGAAATTTGGAGACATGTTTTACCAGCGACACATGAAAGACACAAATAAATGCAAATTTTTCCTCGGAATCCCGTAGAATAGCTTTTTTAAGATGCTTAATTAGGTGAATTTCAAGTAAATTTTCATCCATTTTATATAATGTAACACACCACTTTGGAAATTTCACAGCAACAATTCGACAGCTTTGACTAAGCGATTCCACTGTATTGTCAGTACTTGAAGCAAAAAAGTTATGTTTGTCGTCGATTAAACCATTACTGATGTTTGATTCAATAGCTCTAAAGGAGACGAAGTTCACAAAGAAACTACTGTTGAATAGAACGTCATCCAATTTATTTTGTTTGAGAAAAATATTTATGTTGTTTATGTTCAATTCTTTAGCTCTAGTAGAGCTAGTAGCAGTTGAATACCGCTGAAGAACAGAATCTGTTTTACGGCTTGGTTCGACAACACAAGCACAGAGAGCTAATTTAAGTATCATACGATCGTTGCATTTCATCTGCAAGGCCAATCGGCTTTTGTTTTGACTGGTCACTGAATATCTGATAACTTGCACACGAGGAAAATGCTGTTTAACGTATCCTTCGCTTACTTTCATCAATTCTTTTGCAATACCTCGGCCACGATAAGCCATATGAACGCGCAGCCCTCTAAAGATCGCTGTTTCACCATCGTCGACGATCAATACTGCTCTTAAGCCAACGGCTTTGCCATCCTTCACTGCGACTAGAACTGTGTGTTGAGGGTCATCTAACATCTGAAGGAAACTGTGTGGAAGAGTGTCGAGCCCGGCATGAATGTCTTCTGACATTTCCCAAACTGCAGACAAATCCGTCTTCACTGCTAGACGAACACTTACATTCATTGCAGCCATTCTAGATTTATTATAGCATGCGACCTGCGCGGTTGAATGTTTTGAGGATTTTTGAAAAACCTATCTAACAGGTCTAACAGTGCTTCCACACTGTTAAATTTTACAATTCCATAATATGACAATAAAATTCCCAGAAATTTACAAATATTCCAGAAAGTAGATAACCACCACCACCCCACCCCCCCCTCTCCCATATACTTAAAGGGATGCCGCCGCGCGCTGATTGGCCGAGCTTAAAGCCGGTTTTCCACTAGGCAGAATTTTGCGCGCGCAGCGGAAATTTTCTTTGTCTTTTCTAATTAGTTCCACCCGAGAGATCACAAGACAAAGAAAAATTCCGCTCCGCGCGCAAAATTCCGCCTAGTGGAAAACCGGCTTAACGAGCGTGACTCACGCACAGACTCACATTCAGTGTGACTCTCGCATTACTCACGCACTGCAAAAGGTAAACAAAGGGATGCCACCGCTCGCATAAAACTGAAATTAAATAAATATGAACTATTGGATTAATTTAGATTATAACAACCAGCAGGGAGGAGTAAACTATTAGGTTTTCGCGTAAAAATGGCCGTTGTATAGTTTAATATATTATATGCGATATGCGGCGACCTTTGAACTTTGATATATAAAGCTCGCTATTGCGCGTTCATGTGTGAATTATTCATCACCGATTTGTGATTCCTCTTTAGTTTCCCATGCGCAAGAAATATTTGAAATACAAATAAATACCCAGCGTGTGGCAGGCTGGTTCAAACTTAATTTTGTTGGGTGGTGATGTCTAAGTGTGACATATTTCTCTTAAAACGTTTATGTTGTTGTTGGAAATATAATATCCTTTAATAATATAAAGTATATAACGTTAAAGATAAGCATAAGCATATAAAGCATAAGCATAAGAAATGACAAAAGTCAAAACTTACCCTGGTTCCAGAGGTTTATTTTTATTATTTTCATTGCGAAGGCACAGAGTAGATAAGACATATGTCTCTACTCTGTGGCGAAGGGGAGAGGAAAAATAAACCTCTGGTTGAAAGCGGCAATTGATTCATCAAGCCGCACCAATCAGTTTGAATTAGCGTCAGATCCTGACTCTGTCTCCCGATTGGATGATTGTATTAAAGCACTCTGATTGATTCAAATAAAACATCTATAACCAATCAGAGAGCTTAAATACAATCATCCAATCAGGAAACAGAGTCAGGATCTGACCCTAAGTCAAACTGATTGGCGCGGCTCGATGAATCAATTACCGCTTTCAACCAGAGGTTTATTTTAAACCTCTGGAACCAGGGTAGTCAAAACTAGGCTTAAATCACAAACTTCTAAGCATAAGCTAAGTGAAATAAAAGACATCAAAAGAAAATTCTGTCCGCTTTGTCTTTGCAAGTCCCAAAGGTAAAATTTCTTTTGTATTCCCACTTACCGTATTTACTCGATTGAGCGCCGCCCCCGATTGAGCGCCGCCCCCGATTGAACGCCGCCCCCGAATGAGCGCCGCATTTGAGATCAAATTTTTTTAAAGAGTGCCGTCCCCGAATGAGCGCCGCACTAAACAGTGTAAAAACTTTCCGCGTCAAAATTGGGACATTTAGTGACCTTTTAAAACTTGTCTATGTTATAGCTAAAAGTTCTTGTCATAATTCACAAATAAAATATTTTTTAAAGAGCGCCGCCCCCGATCGAGCGCCGCCCCATCCTCGTTCCCAGGGCTTCTCGGCTGCCTGCGTTGCCGTAAGCCCTGGGACAAGCCGAGGCAGAAGTGATTTGATTGGTCGTTGGAAATAGAGTGAAATATGAAAAGTTTATTCGTCAAGTGGATGTTTATATTTGCAATATGGCTGCCTTCAAGGAGTGGGCGTTCGAAATACGAAGAAATACAAACGTAAACTGCTTGTTTTCTATGGATTAATGGAGATAATTTGCAAACAGAAAGAAAGAAAATAACAGAATGGACAATTATAAAGTAGAAGTAAGCAACAATATCGAAGAAACGTCAATTATGAAGCCATTAAAAAGTTTCTTCATTTTAACATTTTCTTGTTATAAAGTTGTCTATTATTAAAACATTGTGCTCAAGTATAATTGTAAAATTTTAAGCACACTGTAAATATAAAATGTTTAAAAATATATAGCTACGATAGTAAAGTTTTAATGGTGTAATATATTGTGTTTTATTAATTATTATGCTTTTGGTATTGGTCACTTGGCCTATTTAATATCCGCCTATATTAAAATGGCCCTATGTTAAAATGGCCAATTGGAATTTATAAATATAGCATATGGAATATTATGGATGTATTTTACTATTTCTGAATTTTCCTCAGTTGTATTATTAGTGAGTAATTTAAATAGCTTTTAATTAAATACAGTGAATAAGCATATTCAATTTCAACAGTCATTTGAATCCTTGCACCTTTGGCATACCAAAGGGGAATGCAAGGACAATCGCCTCTTATTCACTGGTTTATCATTTCTTGGCAAACAGGGAAGACACTTACTTTCAGTGTCCAAGTCGGGAATGAATGAGGTCATGGGGGAGGGGGTCACTTAGTCTTTTATATAAATGTTGAAATAAAGCAGTCGGCTATATAAATGCTGAAATAAAGCAGTCGGCTAGGAAAGGCTTTTACAGAACAGTAAAGGAATGGTTTGGGAAATTTCAAGTAAAAATTCCAATTGAATACCTGGGGATGATAGGACCGAAGAAATTTACCTTGCCATTTTGTCCTGGCAGCAGGGGACTTCACTGAATTTCACACACCAAATTTAAGTGAATGCCTCTGGTATGCCCGAGGTGGGGGTCTCGAATTCTTGTGTCATATTGGATGAGATCATGTATTTACACTGTTTCCTGTCAACAGTTCAGAATAGAATACTTATTCTGTTGACTTATTGCAAATCTTGTAAGAATTGAAATTATAAAATAAACTATTATTATGGACAAAACTGAAAATTTGTATATGTATATGCAGGCTTCTAGCCAGGAGACACCCTACCATGTCTGTATAAAAATTGATTTTAAACCATTACAAAAATGACATAAAAGTTGCTTTGTATTCTGAAATTCTGGTTTAAGCCTCCTGCTATAGATACAGTCTATTGAACTGGAAAACTTTTCATATTTTTAATGTGGAAATGTGTAGTAATCTATTGATAAATCAGAATGTTAACCCCACCTCCCTTACCATCACTGGATAGATACTAGAAAACACTTAGTCACACTTCTGGATAATGAGGGGGGGGGGGCAATGAACTCCCTGATGTGAAATTGTATGAAATTTAAAAATTGACCAGTGATAACTTGACATTATGTATGGGAGTCAAATTTGCTAACATTACCCTCCAATCATTGGCTATCCCATTCGGCCTCAAATGATTTGGCCCCTATCTGAAACAGAAGGTGCAGTTGCATGTAGATTAAAATATATTGGAATGCAGAAAATATTGTTATACTTTAATCTGAAAACAAAAATTTCCCTGAAACAATTAACATACATTGAGCCATACGTACAGTCATGCACATAGTTTTTGACTGTCAGATGTATCATGAAGCAGCATATAGTGAGTTGCATTCATGGCCAAAGACATATTAGGTTAATTATTTTACATAATTATTTTTCTTCATTTGCCACGGCATGTAATCGGTGAAGGATTCAGGATTATTCTGCATGGAAATAACGTTTTAAACGTGCTATACACAGTAAAACGGTGTTCAATATTCATACTACATGATGGGCATATGGCCAAACAAACACCTTGTGCTTTTTTGCTCAAATTTACGCACGCATGATTTTGTATACATAATATAGATTTAATTCTAGCAATTCAAATCCAAAACTCATGGCGTCATACATGACATCTATCTATAATTTATATTTTCTTGAAATGTTAGGTGATTCATTGTTATTGTCGTTGTTGTAACCCAGTAAACAGACTCACATGTCACATGTCGTTCTTGTTCTTTTTAATATACAACATACGATGGACGATAAAGCTTCGAATTACTTCTCTTTAATTTCCAGTCCGGCTTTGTCCAGTCTTTGAAGTGACTTTACAAGCGCGTGTTGAGACAGGTCATCTGTACAAGAACCCATGATGTTTCGAATCACAGCGGCCACTTCGAGCACATTTCGACTCGATCATGTTTATTTACATCATACATGAAAATATTTGATACATGTAATACGAAACCGAAATATGGTTGCATTTTGACGAATATTAACGATATAACGAAATATAAAACCCCAATATGTATAATTCCATTAGGTGGTCTGCACATATTCCCTTGATGGTGGAAAATACATCGAAACAAAAGAAAAATCCAATATTTTCTGCTCACCAACACGTCTCCACTCCTCAGTAAAAATTAATGCATAGTCAGCATTTTTAGCTTGCAGCAGAACGCGTTTACTTCCGGAAAACACCAGAATTTGTGGTGTTCCGGTTTGGCTTGTCCCAGGGCTTACGGCAACGCAGGCAGCCGAGAAGCCCTGGGAACGAGGATGGCGCCGCCCCCGAATCAACCTCGTTCCCAGGCTCTTTGCTCTTGGGAAGCAAAGACCCTGGTCGGAGCTGGTCACGTGAACCCCCAGATTTTGGGGGGTAAATTGAATTTGACCTCAGGGAGGGGTAGTAGAGGAGTCTGTTGCGTTTGGATAATTGCAACTTTATGTGTTATAATTCCGGCTGATAAAAATGTAATTTGCAACAAGAGATTGTGAGAGGAACTGTTCTAAATTCGTACCGATCATGACTTCCTGCTATACTGAATGTCATCAATAATAAGTGTTGCGTTACATTTCAGTCGAGAAGCTGGATCATATTTCACTTGCAAGGAAAACACTCCACACGCGCCTGGCTCACGAAGTTTAGCACTTATCGCCGACGGTAGAAACATGAAACATCCATATCTTCTACACAGACTGATCGATCAAACGGTATTAAACGAACGATATGGTTCTTCATAGTTGAAGTGTATCCTGTCCGATATTCAAAACAAAAGATTTATTTTATAACGGGATCCTTTGATTTCCCAAACATCGCCAACATGTAAACAATAGTGCTATTTTGACTGTAAAAGCACAGGATTAAAACCCGTTATGGACTGGCTATAAAATTCATTTAATTTACATTGCTGAAACTCAATGATCAAGAAAGATAATGTCGAAGTGTAGCTAGCTATCTGTTGTCACACAAACGCCAAGACTCCTCCGTACGTTTCCGTGCGTGCGGTACAGCTTGAATGTCTAGGACGATATATGCACCAGACACTGGTATTGTACTTTATATAAATTATTTCATATTTTGTGTATATAGTAATTTGCAAATGTATAATATTAGACCTTTCATTGACATTGGCATTGTCCATTGAGGGCTTTATTGAAGAGTAATCCAGCTTCTTTAGACTTGTATAATGGATTAATGCCGCTGTGAGTTATCAATATTTAAAATAACTTTAATCTTTTAATATCGTATTCTGTAACCGACATTTTAGAAGTTTAGTCTGTTTTACCAAACAATACTGCAGGCAAACAACCTATCTATCAATGGAAACTTTAAAAGGTTTGTTACAGTATAAAAACTCATTATAAATATAAGCGAGACTTCGTGTGCATATACAGTTTATGAATTATGTATATCCCTGATAAAACGTATAGGACACTTTAATATACCAGATGTAATAAAAAATACTTTGCTAAACCTTTTCCGCTGTCATTCCTTTGCATTTAAGGGGAGAGGGTAAATGGCGATAGAATTTATAGGAGATGCTGTGCAATATTTTGGCTTCAACAAACAGGTACTCGTGCAGACAAAAAAGAAAATTCATGCAGTTGTGAATTGTCGTATGTCAGCTGTGCACTGTCGATTTCAAACAATTTTGTATGTTATATTTTGTCTTCCTGGTGTTTAATATAAACGATGATAACCTTTTAAAAAAAATGTGTCACGTTTAAGACCGGCAAGGCGCTAATCCTACGACCTATAAACAGTCTCTTTTGAGACATCTGTTTAACAAAAATTTATACCGTGTCCATATCAGAACAATTCATTGGCATATTATAAACATATTATAAATATCAGAGCCAGAACAGAAACGTACGCGTGAAATCAAACCACGCCCGAACTGGCGAAACCCGAGAAAATAAAAATATTTCAAAGCGTACAGTCATACGTTCTCGTTGCTTGATTTCTTGAATTTTCTGTTGCTATAAGAATCTGCATTTTAGCATGTTTGTATAATTTAAAAGCAAACAGAAACCAATTCAGCAAGTAGTTTGAGGTATATATGATTCTCGAAGATGAATTAGATGATTTTACAGAACGGCCACTCCTTGCAATTG